TGTGGTGTTTGTTGAATACCATTAATCGAATTGGACCAGGTAAAATTTGGGTGCACATCGGCGTTCACCCAAGACGCGATAGGCTGAATAAAGTCCGTGACAGTGACAACAGGAGAATCTACAGCGGTAGCCGGTCGCGCCTTGTTTGGAGCGAGAAGACTGGGCTGACTCAATGATGCACGTTGGTTGTTCGAAGAGGGCCCTCGAGGTCGATCAATTGAAATAGGAAGCGGTGTAAAGCTGGAAGAAATAGACAACCAGAAAGACCAGTAAGCTTTACATTTCCGGTAAAAAAAAGTGAGAACCCCACTCCACTGGAACAAAACATGCACAACTTTATCTAGTCGACTGAATCAGTAATCACATTTCTCAAAGTACAAGATGCGGCATGACAACCAGAATTCTGGGAGCATTCGACCCTCATTCACATTTGTGAACACTATCCACGCAAGCTATTCACCCTCTATTTGCGTTAGGCAAGAATGAGGCATTGGGTATCCACATAGTTTCGGTTTAGAATGAGTGCCAAAGAAAGGTAAGCTATTTGGTAGGCTATCGGTAAGGGAGGAAACCCTCGGCTTGGGCATCGAGAGCATTAGACAAATCAAGATCAACGATTTTAAGGTGGATGAGAGAAAGGGATAGTTGCCACCGTCTCCCCATTAGTGATCGATCGTCTGTGACAAGAGGCGGACTGCAAAGAAGCATACGCTTATGCGATCAAGAATCGCTCCGTAATTTCATTCATAAGACAGGAATCTGCCTTCTTCGGTTCTGAACGGAAGCCAAGACCGATGTTGAACAACCCCGGTTTGAATTACCGACGGCGGATTAAAGTTTCTTGGATATACAGATACATCAGGAATTCTCGCACATCAAATAATAAGATTCTCAAATGTCTCAAGTCCAATTCTCAGTCCCACCTCGGTAGACACAAGCAGCACTTAAAAATTACAGATCAGTATAGAATTCTACTTAGCTTGAATAAAGCTCTGCTGTACAAATGTATACGCATAGTTTCCCACCGATCAATGCGTGCGCGTGTACATCTACACTTTGACAGCAACGCAGATAGCAGTGAGATGTTCGGGGGACAGTTTGGTTGACGTGGCTGACCCTACAGCTTAGTTCAATCTACGCAAAAAGCCACGCTACTGATCTAATCTTTATCAGCTGGGTGTGTCTGCAGTCGTGGAACCAAGAATTCGATTCCAACCGTTTCGGGATGGTTGTTTGGTGTACAAGAGCTCTTGATGGTGATTCAGCGCGAATCCAACCCACACCAAAGAAGAAGCACACTCCGAGATGAGCTAATATATGGTTTGTATATTCATGTCATTTAAAGAGAAAGAATACCAGCAACGTTCCATCAAACTGAGTTGAGAATCACTGTGAATTAGGCAGCGATTCTTAATGGGGTTTTAGAACGACTCTCGGTTTCTGATTTCAAATGGGTATAGAGGAACTACAAGAAAGGAGCAGAGGTTAATCAATGATCGCGATGAATTTTCAGTGTTATACCATGTTTAGTGGACACGGGTTTCCTTCTAGGTGTTACATCATCGATAAAGAAGAGGGAAGAAAATCGGGTACCACGAAAACAAAAAAGCTGCACGTGCGGTGGAGATTATCCCATATCAACATCTGCATCTACGTTACCGACAGATAAACATACCTTGATAACGGATGGATCAAATTCATTCCATTAGTCACCGCAGGTATAGATACAGCCGGTGGAGCAGGAGCAGTCGCGTCATCTGCGTTGGACGATCCGGGGGAATCGACATTCTCCCCTTGGCTAGCGTCCACAGACGATACCGAGGTTGTTACATGCGTTGTGTTTGATAATATCCCGTTAATTGGCATGTACTGCACTGGCTGACCACTGGCCAAATCGATGGGGAGCAGACCAGACCTAAGAAGATCTAAAGGACCGGGGGGACAGAACATGAGTAATGTTTGTGGAGGAATAAGATGCGTTGAAGGTGCTGCAGTAGGTGCTGGTGCTGGCGGGGTAGACCCCGCACGGGAGCCCGATGGATTCACACGACCAGATGGACTGATATTAGCAGCCGATCCACAGTCGACCGTGTCCGGTAAAGAATCGTTGCATTCTTCACATAAACCAACAGAGGACGAACTCGGATCCGCATTGTCTCTCGATTCCACATCACTCGGATCAGTCACAGAAGCGAATTGGACTGGAGGAATGGCAAACGTGGCACAGGACGGATGAACCGCCCATGGGGCACCGGGAGGAGGAGGAGAGTTAGCTAACCACAGACTGGAAGTAGGCATCATGTAGGATTGTGTGTAGAACGAGGGACCAAATAAATGAACGTTGGGGTTTGTGGGATTCCAGAAAGGGGGTGGGTATCGGAAGATTGCCCCGGAACTAATGGGTGATCGTAAGGAATATACAGCGTTGGTTAGGTTCACGGGCGCAGACGTGGTCGACTCACACTGAGTATAGTGAGTACTTAAGGCGGGCAACATTTGATCAGTTGCATCTGATTGAAACTGTTCATCCTCACATGACTTGGCTTGGTCATGCACTGAAAAAGTGATTTGAAAGTGACAACTGGTCATTGTGGGTCATTAGGATTATTGAGGTATATTTATGCATTATACTAACAACAATAAATACCTTAATTGTAAATTAAATCAGACAATTGCCATTGAAATTCAAGGTGGAATGACTGGCAAGTTTGTCTTGAATGCAACTACTTCCTAAATGGTTCACATGAATATTCACAAATGTTAATGCACTGATTTTAGTTCATGTTACGAATGGAGAATAAACTCCAGCAGATTTCGCTAATGAAACATTTTGCAACAGCACATAGTCGATAAAGGTTTCACTTTAAAAACACGGGTTCTCCGTCCCGGGAAAGGCTCGTTAATCAACCACGCAGTACCGCTTAAACAACAGCGAAAGTCTAAAATACACAAATCACGAGACTAAACTTTCACATGTTATCACGCGAACGACCGTTAAATGAAAATAACCAGGTAAACTACATGGGAAAAGGCTTGTCGGTCGGATCACAGGAAGGTGAGTTTGAATTTAAACCTACGAATATCCGTGTGGATGTCGTGTTATGAACAGGATCAAAATGGAACGACAGTTCAGTATTCAGCTTTTACAACCATTAACCATGCACTTTCATGCGCCGGTTTTTGTTACTGTCTTTTGGCCGCCCATTTGGATAAGAGTAGAATGAATATTCGAATTTTGAGAGCAAATTCAAGCAGAAGATAGAGAATTCATATAGACTGAGGTTGCAAAAATAACAAGTAGATGCAGGAGCACTACTGTTTGCGACACTTGTCCATATCGCTCACTGTCTCTGAACATCGGTGACCATCATCTCGGGGTCTCCATCCAGGGAGCCAAAATGGAGCGACGAGGTGATGTCTGACAGAGGACGGATTAAATGAGTGTGTACGGCCGAAATCAATAGGCATGATCATTCCCGGATGATGCAGCAGGATGAAAACTTTGCTCAAATGACGAACAGTGCGGTTGATTCCTGTGTCATACACCAACAAACACATATACCGCATATCAGAGATGACACGCTTCATTGGACTCCATTAAATGTTAACAACCAATTTAGTATCCGATGTAGACACTACTCGGTTCGTGACTTCATCCTTTTTCTATCTCCTTATGTCATCACAGTTGGCAGGGGTGATAAGACAGTGAAAATTTGGTGTGCACTTAGACGTGCCAGAACCGAGAAGTCGCATTATAGGATAAAAAGATGAATCGATACCGTTTCTGCTGAAAAATGGGAGGAATGAAGGGTATGCCAACAACAGAAATAATTCTCGGATGATTCACATGGCAGATTCACAGCAGCAGACTCTGCAAATAGTTCACAGTCAGGTATCACACAGCTGAAAAACTCGTCTACATGTAGATCACTTTTCCAATGAAACAACCTTATACGCTAATTCGGGTTATTCGGAAAACAATGCGACACGGTGATTTTTTCAGTGCACATAAAATACTTGGTAAAGAGAAAAAATGAACTCATCTCGCACGCAAATCAATTGGTCTACAATGAGGTGAATTCACGATAAACTATGAAAAAGAGAAGAGCCCATGAAAATAAAAAAAGAAATGTACCCGTATCTTCAGAAGACGGATCTGCCGATAGAGACCGGTTATTTATCAAGTGATCCACAGAACTGTTGGCATGCGGCGATGGTTTTTTGTGCGTACATGAATTCCGGGAGCGCGGTGACGTTTCATCCTCCAAGGGTAGCTGTTTTGCAACTGCATCGGTCAATGCTTCAGCCGATTCGTGTTGACTAGACGGAGGAATCGAACTATTGGTGTGATTAGAGCGTGAAATGTGACGATGATCGCGTGGATTTCGTTGACCAATAATCGCATGGTTGTGACAACAGCTGCGGTGTTCGGAACCAGGAGTGGTGCTCAAGATGCAATTGGAATGTGAATTTGTCTGCTGGCAATAAGTACAGCCGGATGAGCGAAACGATCGATTGTGCTGTGCCACCTCACTATTCGATTGTTCTGAATGAGGTTGCTGCTGTTTAGTTGGGGTGGAAACAGACAGCACAGGATCCTCAGTTGTGGTTATCAAATCATGCACGTTTGCACTGACTAACTGAGTGAGATTTGGTGTGGTAGTTGTGGTAACCTGTACCGGAGTAGACGGAATACGCCGCACTATGCATTGATGACACATCGGACATGTAGTCTGGCTTATCGTGGTGCTTGAGTAGATTGTCGGAATCGCAGTGAACAAGGTTGGATCTTTACGACCCCAATAGCCTGAGGTTGGACTAGTTGTAAGGGCAACTGTTTCGGAGCCACTGTCTTCGGAGGGCGGGGTGGAGATAGGCGAGGATCCGGAGCTGTGGCGTTTGGGAGCTAAGCGGCAATACTCAGGTACATCTTTAGAATGTTTACCCAACCCGAAATGAGAAAGGCCTACATCCGCATCGGATGGATTGAAACGTGACGTAGACGGGCCAGCCGATGTGTGGGTTGATGAACTACCTGGTGGCTCCCGTCGGTCAACATTGCGCGGATTACGTGGGGATACCGATAAGTCGTTGGTTGACAAAACCAGATCACGGATCACTGAAATGCGGTCAGATGCTGTGAGTGTGCGGGAAGAGGCTGAAATTAAGGTAAACAGAGCATGACAAAAATGAGTCTAAAATGTTTGCACGTAGGGGATTTAAGTGAAGTCCCTTTGAGTAACAAATTATAAATTGGCCGGAAATTCCCTGAAAATTGGTACATTCAGTGTACCAAAATAAGTGAGTGATACAGACATTAGTCATTCAAACTACCACCGGGAACGTACTCTGAGAACAATCCGTAAACCGTATTTTGGAAAAATTAAGCCCCAGTTTAGTAGTGTAGTGTAGTACTCTCTAAGCGCATCTTATAGGAGGCTCTTAACGAAACGCGAACAAGCAATTGTACAATGAGGAGACGTGAAGGTTGAGCACCAAGCAAGCACACATCCACCTCCACACACACACGTCCAACAAGAGCAAATGAATAAAATAAGAACTCTGCTGTTGCCTAGCCTTCAGTACATTGTGAAAGAATCGATTGCATTTAATTCTGTTAATCTCTACATGAGAACCAAACCTGGCTTCTTTATTTGATATCAAACATGGTGAACAAGGCATCGGTAAACAGCCAGAAAGCTCACTTCACTGCGGCCGATTTGATGTCGAGCGAAACTTCGTCGAAGCGCTACTAATCACTGGATGTCTTTCATTGGTGACGTGAACCTAACACTTTCATTTCACCTTTCCTAGGGTATTCAAAAACCGACCGTCGAAAAGCTTAAACAGGAAAACATCTTCAGTACCTCAAACCACTATTTGACAGCTGAAAGGCGGACCGCAGCGCAGCAGCAACCTTACCACCTTAATGGAACGACATATTCATACAGCGGTTATTTCATTTTGCGCACACGTGGTAATTAGTTTCCTTTGCAGTGAAGGGGGTGAATGTCAATGAGATTTAACGTTTGATATACGGGGTGGAACGAACTAGCACTTCGTATTGGAGGACCGTCGCGATACCCACGATAGTCAGCCTTCAGTTGACTCTCAGCGTTTATCAGTGCCTCTGGGAAGTTGCCTACTAGTGTACATCAGATAGAACCCGGTGAACAAATCAACACTTGAGCCAAACACGGCTGATGGTGGATAAGACGTTCAATGGCGGTTCGGCAAGATATTACAAAACTACCTTGTTCTTGCTTGCTTCTGTAGAGGTTAGAGGAGTGCACTCAAAAACGAGAACCGAACGAACGATATTGTGAAGGACAGAGGGAAGATCAAACGCCGAGAATTAAGTAGAACGACAAGAAGAATGAAAGTGGAGGACTCGGTCAACTTTTTTATCTTATGGTATTATTACTTGTAGTACCACGATCTAGATTGTACGCACTGCTGACGAGTCCCAATCAGGACAAAACAGTTTTCCAGTGCTCTTTGTTGGTTATCGCAAACATTTCCATTGCATTTAAAGTATGAACCTTTTTACCAATGATAATCGAATACCGGTCGGATTTAGGTAACCATTTTTCGAAATCAGAAAGTATTAAAAACTACGCAAAACAGCAGTTGAACAGAAAAAAATAGGAATAAACTAGATTGTTGGACTGTATGTGTACAGAAGATCAGGAGCAACTGACAGGACTTTCTACGTGGGCGAGCTGCGCGTGCCTTTGCACGATCAAAAAAAATAATAGAAAGGGACAATATGCCAATAAATTCTTTCTCAATGTGGATCATTAAGAATGATTGGATTAGTGGGAAGGAGTGCTTGAGACTATGCATTGAAAACAATTCTCTGCATGAAGACCTTGTCAAAGCTGTGACAAACACACGTAGGCGCGCCAAATTCATACTTGTGCATGCGTGTACCCCTATGGTACCTGCTTCCTACCTTGTTCGCGATTTAGGTAACCGGATATAGATGGTCACTAGTTATGAGAATACACGACTGCGTTAGATTCTTCATTGTTTGTTTTTTCTGCAAGGTCGAAAAATTAACCGTTTCAGTGCACAACGTTGAACTTAATTTGATTTAAATAGATAGATAGTTCACAAGTGTAGTGAGCAAATTTGCCGTAAAACTAATAAGTTCGTTCCAATTGTTCATGACATACAGCAACTGGGTGCTTGTCGTCCCGGGCTGGTGAGATTGCAAACATAACCCAATGAAACAGAGGTAAAGAACGTCTAACCTAATGGGGTCTGTGGTTCGCCACTTCAAGTTCCGGGGCTTAGGTTGGCGGTTTCCACCACGAAACAGCATGTTTTCGTGATTGTGGAGTCCACTTTATCTGCAGTTCACCATAAAAGTGTGTATAATAGAAACCTAGTTTCTACTACCCGTCTTATATGAGATGGGTATCTTTTGACAGATCCCCCTGGCAGACAATATTCATCCCAACAGTCTAACGCAATAGGACAGAACAGTCCAGAAAATCAGAGGATGTGCTGGGCTTGTGAACATCGAACCTATAATACGTGATTTGACGAACAATAGATCCGTCATAAACGTGAGACAAAATGTATCAAGCTTAATCCGTATGACTATTTTCAATAAGTTAAACCAAATTATCAGCAGACAGAAATTGATCAATCGACATTCCGAGAACGCAGCAGGAGAAACCCCTTGGGGCTTTAAACCAGTAAACGAAATGAGGGAAACCTCACACGCTTGGTATTATTTGCATCGGATAAACGCGCGTCACGGCTTCACCGATAATTCTAGTGAAACGATGTAGACTCGATTCTCAAAGCCAATCAGTTCATCTCAAACGTGGAGTGTGATTGACAATCCTCGATTCCGGATGATATATTTCAAACTACGGTGCAAGGTATTCAATTAGCAGTAACAAGTTTAGCGAAATCAATACGATTGTTCATGAGCAACTGTATTGTTATCCACTAACACTGAAAAGGCCTGGAAGAAGCATTTTCCCTGTGTGCCGGAGGGGGGAGGTTGATGAAATCGCAAGCCAANTAAGCACTGCTACTACTTGTAGATTCCATCGACAAAAGAGAAGAATGACGCGTGCGATGTGATGTGACAAAATACGAATGATTGCTATAATGTGACGTGAGACATCCATGCAGCCTTCAGACCGGATTCAAAATTAAGTGTTGTGGTTCTGAAATGTCCAGGTGTTAATCAGATGAACACAAAACGCACCAGCGTTGATATCCCGTCATTGACAGTGGTTTATCTTAAAACAACTCTTAATGGCCATTTTGGTCCAGATCTAAATGGCGCTTTAATTGAATCTGGTGGAATTTATATCTGCATCAGTGGTGTGTCTGTGCAGATTGGTAATGGCGGTTGTGATGATTGAGTGGTTTCTGCCGCTGTCGCGGTTGTACCTCGGGTTAGAAAATTCGAACAAAACCACTGTCACCTAACTTCCATGGTAGATGGTTCTGCTATCATACGGCTCCATAAAGCGCCTAAGACTACAAGGAGCTGTTAACAAGTGGAGGTAACGGTTGGTCGTGACCGTTCTGAAACTTGGAATGTTTGAAATAGGAAAACATAATCGGCTGATTTGATCAACGAAAGATTATGTTAATTTCCAATTAAACAATAAAAACAAGCACTTCAGTTACGTGGGTGGCTGACTGGACTGAACCATTTACATGTTTTGTCATTGCTAACAACCGTCTATTCCACCTAGTAGTAAACAACGGTTACTATTCACACAAACCACGTCAACGTAGTGAGTGCTTACAGCATAGTAGTGAAATGGTTCATGAAGCCAAAACGTGGTCCCTGTTAAAAATCTCTAATGAATGAAACTTACTGGAATTGAGCTCATCTGACGAGCTGCCTGGATCGATATTATGAGGTTCCGTGGAAGGATGAGGAATGGAAGATTCTGTATAAGTACTTGAAGATACTTGGCTTACGGCGCTGTCATCCGAACTGTCCAGAGAGAACCTTGGATGTTCTGTGTTGCATCCGATTGAATCTGTGCGAAATTGGTTAGATATTTGCCTCTTATCTAAAGTTTCTTTCAAATCAGCTTGTTGAGAATTAGCCTGTCGCCGAGTTTCACAGGAAGAACAACGTCCTGAAGGTAGGGGACGCGTGTCTCGAGACAACAAGTCTGCTCGTCCACGACGACGACATACAGGGACTGAGCAGGGTTGCGCATCCGAAGGATGCGATGCGCGGGGGCAGGGTAATATAGGGTTTTTTCCAGAGCGTTTGGAGTGTAGCTCCAGCTTTAAGATGAAAAGTGGGGCACGGCAAAAAGAACGAAAGAACAAATAGACTTCGTATCGTTAATTGATAAGTAACAAAAAGGACCCGTTGGGGGAAAACATTAGGGCCAATGAATGACTAACTTGTGTCGACACCCGACGGTCATTCAACAACAAAATTGCGACAGAAATAAAAAGATATAAGCTAGCCACTTCGCCATACCTTTAAGATCATTTTTAGCAGCCTTGTGTTGTGAACTTTATTCGTGATATAATGCCATACATATGAACATAAACTTGGGGATTTTATTGAAGAATACATGCTTGGGGTAATTTTATTCTCAAGCGACCACAGTCAAGATGGCATGAAAATAAAATAACAAAAAAATCGACTATGTAATGTGACATGAAGTCCAATTCGGAAGGGAGACGGAAGGTGAATGAACAGACACTACGCCGGTTTCCAGGTTCACGATATTAGACGGGAATACGTTCCAGGAACGGTCACGTCGTCCAAGGTAAAAAGTTCTAGGTTGTATTCGAACAAGAAACTACTGCAGTGCACGAAAAAATAACGAACAAGCAGTGCTGGTCGGGGCGACGCTTGCGCACTTAGCAAACTAATTTTTTCTAACATTCCTCAGAGTGATCAACAGTAAGGGGTGAGCCTCACAGATATGGATATCAGCTGCTGATTTATGAGAACCAGCAATGAAAACCCTGGACCATTAAAGTTGAGTGGTGGTGTTGGTAGGCACGGACATTCAAACACAAACCCAGATCATATTAGTAACAGTAACTTGGCTATAACCACCCAGATAACGGCTGCACATCCGAGTTCGGCGTAATAAAGTTGTGCTGTTTCTGTAGCGTACTGCAAAATTGACACTTGTTTGATCAACAATCCCGCGTCGCCAGAAAGACAAAAACGAAAATTCGAGTAATTCGGCACTTGTACACAATGTCAGGTGAGTAGCTGGGATCGTTTACTGTAAACGTTTGTGGACTAGCAACTGTTAGTTCCCCCGGATATAGAATATCGTCAAGAGAAAAGTTGTAGAGGAGGAAGACAAAAGCGGTCTTTCGCTGATTTGGTCTAGTAAATTGCAACGAAGAGCAATAAATTAGTTAGGCTCTTCTTTCTGCTACCGCAACAGGTTCGGGTAACAGTACAAACTGATGATAAAGGGGTAGGAGCATAGAATGTACGAAATCGGTGCGTTGAAATTCTCAGGTCTCCAAGCAGATAACTTTTGTGCTTCAATTCCTGATTTACCAAGTGTTAAATGGGGGGGGGCAAGCATGCTGGAGACAGATGGAGAAGATCCCGTCAGTATTTCTGGGATCAAATAATGTAGTTCAATTCGTCCAGCAGCCCCGTCCTCGTGCAAGGATAGTAACATCGATTTGCTTCCAGGTGGTAGAATGCTAACGATATTGACACTGATTTGAACAGTTCAATCGATCCAAATGGCTATCAGTGAGACAGCGACCAAAACCGCCGTAAGAAATCGCACAATGATTGGTTTTGAAAGGTGAACTGAACTGTATACTACCTGCCGTGTCCCCAGATCGTGGATAGAGGAACAGTGAATAAGTGCATGAACCGATCTGGGATCACTATCCGGCAGTAAACGAGCAGAGGTGCAGTAAGACACCTCAAAAGTCACGAGCATTTATCGTGAACGATCCAAAATTTGAAATGATGAACCACACAAACTAAGCAAAAGGGCGAAACACCGTCACCTTCGAAATGAAATGGAAGTCTTGAAAAATGCGGTGGCTAGAAAAGACGCTGGATTTGGCTCGAGACAATCAAAACCGGAACAATATGAAATTTAACGAACACAAGGAACAGCTAACAAACAAGTAATGTCGATCAACACTCGTAATGATGCTTTCACACTTAGACACTAGTGTGCTGGACAGGTGCTGCATTTACCAGTCATGAGTATCTACTTTTCGGTTATAAGAAGCAACAACCTAAATCATGGGAGGAGAACCAGTAGACGAGGACTGAGTAAAACGTTTGCGGATGCAGAAGTCTAATCTGCTACACAAAAGTAAACATTACATTTTCTCGAGGTATTCTCCACCATTCTCCATTCATGCAGTTCCATGCGCTCAAAAAATTGGTGAAACAGAGGGTAACCGTTCGACCACTTCAATGGAGGCTTCCACTGCAGATATTGGTAACCTGTATCGAATTCCACGCATCATGCGCTTGACATTTGGGGACATAAATCACACGGAGCCAGGTCTGGACTGTAGGGCGGGTGAACAACCTCCTGGACACGTTCTCTAACCAGAAAATCGCCGACGACGTGGAACTTGTGAGCATGTGCGCTGTTATGGTGCAGCAAGGTCCCTCGAGCTCGAATCCTTGGACGACAGCTAGCAACAGCATCCAGCACTTCCGGCAGTGGGTGGCGTACCAATCTCCGATGACAGTGCTTTGCTGTACGAGCGATACAGTTGCCATATGGCCGGTTTTGGACATGAACACAGCCACCATCTGCTTTGACACGGAATTTCTGAGGTGGCGCCCCCCCCCCACCAACTTGCGTCTCCTGAGCCGATTGGTGCTTGGTCCCTGGGTCGAAACTGTACACCCAGGTTTCATCACCACGGATTGGAACGTCCAACACCAAACCTGCAAGCATGGTGCGGCGCCAATTCACCCGAGCTGCTTTATGTTACTTGCTGGGCTGATGAGGTACCTAGCGTGTGAAAACCTTTCTGAGGCCGGGCTACTTATGTAGGATGGTACGAATTGATCCCAATGGCTTGCTTCAGCTGTGCTATTATTACCCGCTCATCTTTCATCATCGTTTGCACAGCAGTAATGTTGTCCGCTGTCGTGGCCTTCACAGGTCGACCATACCGTGTCTCATCATCCAAGGATCGCCTGCCACGCTTGAATTCCAGGAACTACTCAAACACTGCTTCTTGAAGGCATCTCGCAAACGATAACCACTCTGTTTCTGCTTTAAACCATTTGTACTTAGAGAAAATTATCGCCCTCCACTGACGTCGACTGAGTTGCATCCTTAGAATCTTTACAATTCCTATGCCTGCCAGCTGTGTTTGACTGTTGATATTTGGATCTGAGTTGCTATCACTGAACAATGTTCACAATAGATTACAGTTCAAGTTTTCTTTGCCTGGTCATCCGCACCTTGTACATGTACTACGTATCCGAAAACGTTTTGCTCAGCCCCGTATGACCTGATAAGATAGGCATGATATTGAGCTGAGCGACAGCTGCTAAGGCTGAGGGTGATTGACGGTGGAACAGTTTGAAAAACATTGACAGCGACTCAAACGACTTCATCATCGGCAATGTTCATGAATTATGGCGCATTTGTGGGCATCAGACAAATCGGAAAGCAAGGATGTAGTTAGTGATTCCTGAAGCATATGCATGCAAAAATATATATATTTGATAATAAGTAGTATGTGAATGACTGGAGACAATTTTCCTGGAAGCACACGACCGGTTTCGCGGTTCTTGCCGCTCGTCAGGCATGCGTATCCGGCAATCCTTTGTGAGTTCATTCATATACTTTATATATCTATATATATATATTCTAGTGCAGACACGGGCGCAGCTATTTTGATTTAATTGTGAGTCGTGTGCGTGTCTCACTGGATCTTTTGGTTCATGGTTGCTTTTTGTATTTTCCCCGTCTTGTAGGACGTTTGGAAGCCCCCTCCACGGAGAACCTACTGTGAGAAGTGTATCCTATCAGTGTATAGAGAGCGTTAGTAAGTGGCCGGGGATTGTGCGGTCTTCTTGTGAAGACGCCAATTGTATAAGAACTCGGACAGCGTTGCCCGGAATCAATCCGCTAGGGTATTTTGAGTGGATTCAGAACTGGGGTCGGTCCTACATACNACATACTGCAATGTATACATATATATATATATATATATATATATATATACCACGTTCTACTGATGGCTCCAGAGTTCAAATACCCAGGGGAACGGCAGATATGCGCTAATGTTTTCTGAGTGAACGACTATTTGAATGAACTGAGGACTGTACGTCCAAATAGTCTGAAGTGGAAATCGATAACAACAATAATAATACAATTAATAATATTTACAATATTTACGGTAAAGCATGTACATGGAGAGCTATTCGCACTATATACCGATAATCACCAAATCTTCAAACCGACAAATGAAAACGAACCGAACGTGCACGGAGTGCAATCGGCTCTCAAGGGACACGATACGATCGATCATGTACATGATCACTTTAGTCAGATCAAAAAGCAAAACATGAGATAATGTTCAACTGACGTCGAACTGGACCCCGTACGGAAAGTGGTGAGTGGAGTAGGGAACCCAGTGCACCCAACAGAACGAGAACAACGGAACCAATAAATACACATGCATCGGAGATTATGCTGCCCATAAATGTTGATTTCAGAGAGGAGGGTGTTGTTCTTCGTTGATACAAAATTGAACGTACCTGTGCGCAGAAAGATACTTCCAAAAGAGCCAAGTCTTCCAACGATACACTGTGGAAACACCGATGGTGTGAATGACGACCTGAAATGAATGTAATTCAATTGGTTAGAAGTCGACCACACAAAAAGCATGTATAGTGTGCTCATTAGGCGGAAGCAAACACAGATAAACGTGCCCAGCAAGGTTATCAACTGACAACTACCGCGAGATCAGTTTGGTTTAAGTGGAGACAATCATCAACAAACGCAGCCATCCTTAAAATCGTCCGTGTACAGGATTTCTTAAATCAAATAGCGTCCGAAACACTTAACTATACGATTTAAACAGTTTAACACACTAGCTACAATCAAATTTTTGTTTCTACAACAAATTAACTAGAGACGCACGTTTTGCTGGTCAACTTGTTAACAGTTTATCATCGGAAACTTCTCAGCAATGTTATTATAAAACGGCAAAGATAATAGGCACGAGCCATACAGCCCGCCAACCGAAGGCCCACATAAGGCTTAACTCGCTCGTTTTTAGAAACAGACAACAGG